ATTAAGCACAAATGAGTATTTCAAAGACAGGTCATAAGGTCATTTACTGTGTTGCTGTGCATTCAGTAGAATGGAGTATTCTGTTAAATAATGTAATTAAAAATAACAAAGTTGGGTCACAGGTTAAACATTTATGAGATACAATTATTCAGTATATATTTGGTTGTGGGTGAGCAAGTGATTTTTAAGAAGAGACTTGAATTTATAAACAGTGTTTCTTTTATATTCACAGGTAGTGAATTCCAGATTTTTGGGCCTTTTATGTGCATTGAGTTTTTGCATAGTGTGAGATGGACACGAGGAATATCAAAGAATGATCTGTGCCTTGTGTTATGGTCATGTGTTCTGTTGAGGTTGGTAAGGAGACGTTTGAGGGGAGGGTTTATATCCGAGTTAAGTGTTCTATGTATGTAGTAGGTACAATAATAAGTATGGATGTTTTGTATGGTGAGTAGGTTTAGAGTTTTGAATATTGGTGGAGTGTGCTGCCTGTAGTGGGAATTTGTTATCATTCTGACTGCAGCCTTTTGTTGGGTAATTAATGGTCTGAGATGGTTTATTGTTGTTGAGCCTCATGCACAAATTCCATAGGTGAGATAGGGGTAAATAAGCGAGTGATATAGGGCCAGGAGGGCTGACTGTGGAACATAGTACCGTATCTTCGATAGTATGCCTACGGTCTTGGAAATTTTCTTGGAAATTTGTTGTATATGTGTTTGAAATCTGAATCTATTATCAAGGTGGATTCCTAAGAATTTTCCGTCTGTGAGCTTTGTGATAGGTGATCCGTTTATCATTATGTTAAGAGGGACATCTGTAGCTCTGTTATCAAACTGAGTGAAGTAGGTTTTGTCAATGTTGAGAGTAAGTTTGTTAGTTCTCATCCAGGCAGATATTTTCTGTAATTCGGTACTCACAGTATTGGCTAGCATGACTGGGCTCGTGTGAGACAAGACGTATGTAGTGTCATCTGCAAATAGTGTGGGTTTGAGTAGTTGCGATGCATTTGGTAGGTCATTTATATAAAAGAGAAAGAGAAGAGGGCCAAGGACACTTCCCTGTAGGACAACAACTGTAATTGGCTGTGCGGAAGAGTTTGCTCCATTTGTGTACACATATTGGCTTCTGTTGCTGAGGTAAGACTTTAGGTAGTTGAGGGAGTGCCCTCTTATACCATAGTGCGACAATTTTATGTGGAGCAAGTCATGGTCAACTGTATCAAAAGCTTTACGTAAATCAATGAAGATTCCCAGTGGGACATCTTTTTTCTCTAGTGCAGTGTATATTTGTTCTAGCATGTGTATAATAGCATTGTTCGTATTTTTATTAGGCCTGAACCCAAACTGGCAGGGGTTAAGTATGTTGTGGGAGATGAGATAGGAATAGATTCGCTTATGAATTAATTTTTCGAAGATTTTAGAGAGAGGGTGTAAGTTGGATATTGGCCTATAGTTAATCAAGTCTGTTTGGTCTCCTCTTTTATGGATCGGGGTGACCCTCGCTATTTTGAGAACTGTAATAAAGTTGGTAGAATTACCGACAATATGTAAAGTAAAAGGACACAAGTGCAACTAATGTGACATTTATTGTGGTAACGTTTCGCTCTCCAGGAGCTTTATCAAGCCATTACAAACAATACATGGACACAGAGGGTATATAAAGGCTCAGAGTGAGGTGTAATACTAGTGAGGTACCATTTCGATGTTCACTAGTGGTAGTAGTAGTAGTAGTAGTAGTAGTGGTGGTAGTGACAAAAGTAATACAATATGGTAGAGCAATTAATTCGTAGTGATGAATGGTTTAAAAAACCGACAAGTTGAAGATCGAGACACTTATGCAGTACATGGGAATTTTTATTCAGGAAACGTTTCGCCACACAGTGGCTTCATCAGTCCAATACAAAGAGGAAGGCGTAAGGAGAGGAGGAGTATGAGGTAATCAGTCCCTCGGCCTGGAGTCGATGTGTTCAGTCCATCAATCTTGTAGAATGTACAGCATAGGGCCGTAGACGTGGCTTATATACTGTAGTGAGGTGAGGTGAAGCAGGCGGAGGCGGGGTCATAGTGGTACCATCCACTAGTCGAAGTAGGTCTACGTCCAAAGGTTGAACAAGTGTTGAAGAATTCTTTGTAACAAGATCCCATGATGCTGCAGTGTCTGACAGTCGTACATGAGTAAAAGGATATAAAAGCTATTACTTGGGTAACATAAAAATAGGTTGGACAAATATAGACTGGAATGAGGCAGCTTGTTTCAGTGTTCACTCTCTGTGCTTTGTGTAGTATAACAGGAGAGACTATGTGATGGCAGGGTTTACTGTTTTCAGGAGGATTCTTGCTAAGACTTCGGAGATGGTGAAGCTGCCGTTGTTTTGTTTAATTGTATTCGAAACAGCGATCAGTGCTGATTCGAGGCACTTGCTTCTGCGGAAATTAGTTTCTTTGATCACTAATTGGGCGTCTCTGAATTTCATGAGATGACTGGTGGAATTTCGGTGTTGTACACAGGCGTTGTTCAAGTTATCGTTCCTACATGCGTAAATGTGTTCATTGAGGCGGGTGTCGAGGTTTCTGGATGTTTCACCTACGTAAATCTTGTCACAGCCTCCACAGGGTATAGTGTAAACTCCTGCATTGACTGGTTCGTGGTGCGTGGATTTTGTCCTGGTTATATCCTTTATTGAATTGCTAGAAGCGATGACGACTCTGGTGTTAGCTTGTGTCCATGTATTGTTTGTAATGGCTTGATAAAGCTCCTGGAGAGCGAAACGTTGCCACAATAAATGTCACATTAGTTGCACTTGTGTCCTTTTACTTTACATTTTGAGAACTGTAGGGAAGGTAGAGGATTCGATGGATTTGTTAAAGAGTGTTGCAATGATTGGTGACAGCACTTGCGACACTTTTTTGTATATAAAGGGTGGTAAGGTATTTAAATCTCCTGTCTTGTTTTTTAGTGTGTTGATAATAAGGGAGACTTCAGTTGGGTTAGTCGGAGCTAGGAACAGTGTGTTCGGGTAGTTGCCAGTGAGGTAGTCATTGGGTGGGATATTTGAGCTTGAGATTTTATTGGCAAGGTTTTTTTCCTATGGTGAAGAAGAAATCATTGAGTCTGTTTGCTGTTTCGGTTGATGGGAGTTGGGGTTCATCTGGCTTTGTTAGTTCAATTGCGTCGTTTATAGTATTATACAAATTTACATCTGCTGACTTCCGGAAAATTCAAAATTTTCCACAGATGGGATATTACCTGGAGGGTGTTTCGAGGGTCAACGCTCCCGCGCCCCAAATCATAGCAATTAATTCTGGGTATGTAGGGCTCATTTTTAATTATTTTAGAGTTAAAATCCTATTCCATGATCACTGGCCCACCATGATGAAGTCTCTAATGATCGGGGCCACACCAGTGATCATCATCTGCTTTAATCATTGTGTGGAAAATAATTTCCCAAAATTATATTGTATATATTTACATTGTAAAAAAATATACAGGATAATTTTTTGAAAACGTAAATATAATTTTGGGAAATTATTTTCCACACATATTCACTAATCCATAACCTACCAATAATTATTCTCCATAGACATACAATAACGACAAGATTCTCCGTGTGCTGCAATCGAACCCAGGTCCTTCGGTTGTGAATCGAAGTTGTTACCATTTAAACCACGAGCACTTGCTCAAAAAACGTAGCAGAATACATGATTTAAAATAATATGCAAAGAATGGGAGATTCAAATTGTAATAAACCACGTTTTTGGCTGTTTTGATGTCACCTGTGGATATGCCTCTTAATAACTTTATATTAAATGCAGTAACTGTAGAAATATTTTATATAAATAAGGTTTAATTTGTATTATTTTTCTATTTTTTTATTTTTATCCTATGCCTCCATGTGTATAAGATAAAATAAATAAATAGGACCCCAATTTGTCTGACTTACATGGGTTATCCTAGGTAATCTGTATATATGCTGCTATGTATGAAAATTTATGTAAAAGTATTTATGTGTACCTATACCTAAATAAACTTATTTATTTAATAAATACTAACCAATTTTAACCTTAGCAATGATGTATTACTTAACACAGTTGGTTGACTCTTCTGCGCTATGAATTAATCATTATTGGAAGGGAAACTGTGACTATTTCCTTTGTTTTCCTGTTAATATGACCTATTTTATGTGTTTCTAAATAATAATATTACCTATGAATGCCGGTTAATAGAGGAATCTTCAATCAAATGCCTGTACAATGTTCAGGACCCCAATGGAAATAAGTCACTCTGTCTGACTTTTTTGGGTTATCCCAGGTTCTCTACACATATGCTGCTATGTATGATAATTCTATGTAACTGTATTTGTGTACACCTGAATAAACTTACTTACTTACTTACTTACTTACAGGCACCTTTAACAAAACAATCCCACCTATATATATTATATATATATATATATATATATATATATATATATATATATATATATTATATATATATATATATATATATATAATATATATATTATATATATATATATATATATATATATATATATATATATGTATATATATATGTTATATATATATATATAATATATATATATATATTTATATATATATATATATATATATATATATGTATATATATATGTATATATATATATATATATATATATATATATATATATATATATATATATATATATATATATATATGTATATATATTTATATATATATATTATATATATATATATATTATATATATATATATATATTATATTATATATATATTATATATATATATATATATATATATATATATATATATATATATATATATATATATATATATATAATCATTGAACGAGAATTAAGCATTTTATATAATATATTCTTTCAATAAATATTAACAGTCTAACTCGTGTTTTTTAGCCTGTAGATAATACAAAATGTGCTACAAAAATGACCTAAAGTGAGTAAACTGTGTTGGGTGACATCTTGTCACAACAGCTGGGTCGTGTTTTGCTTCTCAGTGTTCCTGCGCAAGGGTAAATAATTTATAGTATTTATTGACTAATTTGGCATATATTGCTTAGCATAAGTAACATAAGTTAGTGGCAGTGGCGCAGGTATATTGTAAGCCAGAGGTAGATGTTATAAGTGACCCTACACATGGCGTGGTTACTCAAAAAATTTTTGGAAATTATTTTGTCTATTGTTGCAAATAATTTGTGTTTAGCAACTGTATGAGCTTTTCCATTTAAGAAAACTTTTGTATCAAATGTATCTTGTTAGAAAATAAAATTATTATTATTATTAGTAGTAGTACTATTTTTTTATTTCTATTATTATTGTTAGTACTGTTATTATTATTTATTATTATTATTATTATTATTATTATTATTATTATTATTATTTATTATTTATTATTTATTTTTATTATTATTATTATTATTATTATTATTATTATAAGATATTACAAGGACCCCAGTGGATATAGTACCTTGTCTGACTTTTTTTTTGTATTATCATAGGTACTTTACACATATTAGTCTGTATGATAATTGTAATCACTTAAGTTAGTAGTATAACTTATGTGTATCTCTTCATACTTATCATAGATTAAGCAGATTTTCTCTATTTAATGTTCACGCAAACTGCTCAGTTTCATTATTCCTATTATACATCTTTATTGTAACTGATTTTTATGCATTTGAGTTACATAATTGCTTTAATTTTTATGTTTATAATTATGACTGATTTCTACTGTATCTAATTTGAAAACTAGGTGGAAAATAATAAGATATGATAAGGACTCCATTGGAAATAAGTTACTTTGGCTTTTATTTTAGGGTTATCCTCTGTAATTTACACGTTCCTGTGTAAAACAGTTGTAATCACCTAAAACTTATGTATTTGTAATTGTACTTATTTGTAATCGAATCGAATAAGATGACGAGAGCTGTCGTGAGATGGGAAGGAAGAAGGATAAGGAAGGATGGAAATGACTGGAAAAGGATGGGAAGGAGGGGAAGATGAGGAATCAAGGCAAGTGGCCCAACCACTTTGGGACATGTGGTACCGAAGTACTGGAGACGTAGATGGAGAGGCTTGAATGATGTCGTTACTTGGCTCACTAGGAGAGGATGGTGAAGGCAGCGGTAGGAGCTGGGAGTGTCAGAAGGCAGCAAGCAGGATGAATTGGTTATTGTCTTGAACCGTTTTTCAGTGCATTGAATTTTGTTCGAGAGATTTGTATCACACGTATGGGAGAGCTGTAGAAGAGTTCGTTGGTTTGGAGTTGGTGGAGTATCTGGTTGAAGGTAGGATATGGCCTTTTGTCGCTTTGGTACGTTGTAGTGTTGTACATAAATAAACTTACTGACTGCTAAGGTCAGCCTGAATCTGAAATAAAAATAAAAATAATAATGATAAAAAATAATTGTAATCTTTATTTCTAAAAAGTATATTATAGAATTGATACAAGATTAGGTAACATTATTGCCATACCATATAGAAAGCCCCTGTTTATGCAAAGCATTTTGGGCAGCCTTAAAATTTACTTAACACTACTGGATGATTAATTAAGCTGGTTTTACAAGTATGTATATCACAGTTTGCAGTCTTTGACATTAACGCAGACATTTCAGCTTACAATTATGACTTCTTTGGAATTTTTGCCTCCCATTCATTCTTCATGCACTATCTAACCCTTGCTTGAGTACATTAATTCAGATTTTGTTTAGTTTTATGAATTCAGCTTTCTTATAAAGCTATTCTATATAGTGTGATGTTTTGGGATATAATTGAAAAAAATGTATCTAAATCACAGAATGGGAGGGACTCAGACCCATGAGTTTCAGCCTCATCCCTTTTGTGATTTGTATGCAATTATATTATTGATTTAGCAAGTCATGAAAATGTGCCTGAGATTGAATACCATGCATGTTTTGTTTGTTATTCTTTATTCAGTGGTGCTTACAAAAAATGCACTATATAGAGCATCTTGTATATAGGCAAGCTGTATACAGAGGTATTATAGGGAATGAGTAATTTGAAATTTGAATTCATTAGTTACATAAATCACAATCATCACAGATATACTAATGTGAAATTTTGTGTTGACTTTAGATAGCGCTATATATCTTCCAACACTGGGCGACTTTAGCGTGATGGCGAGGTTTAACCAAAAATTTCACCCTTTCATCAAAATCTTCTGTTGTTATTTGTGATTTGGAACAGAATAGATGTAGTTTTGAATAATAAATGAAATGATACTTGTTTGCATTATACTGTGCTTATGGCAACTGTAATATGTCAGTACACCACTCTTGTTCTGCTGCTTACACTGTCACCAGTGATGTTGATGCTAACACCACTGATGCTGTTGATGTCAGTACCATTGATGATATCACCATTGATGCCAACACAACTGATCCTACTGCTGTTGTTGTTATGAAAAAAAAGGCCTCTTTGATGATCCCGTCTTTAATGCAAACTCTCACTATGAATTCTTAAATATTATTAATTTATTTATTTATACTGTATTTAAAAAGGTTCTAAACCCATATTGGTCACACAGGATTTCTTAACTTCTCTGATTTCCTACATCAACTGTAATCCTCTTTTTCGTTCTGCCGATGTCCTTTCCACTTTTGCCTCTCCCTCTCTGCAGTTTCTTTCATCTTTCCTATGTAACTTAGTGTATTCAGTTAATATATGCACAGTAAATCCTTGCTGTTAGAAACCTTTATTTAATGGATTTCTGAAATAACGGAGAAAATCCACTGGGTAAATTGCACTTTTAATGCATTTTTAACCCTTTCAGGGTCCAGAGGCCAAATTTCAAAGTGCGCACCAGTGTCCAAGAATTTTCAAAAAATAATTTTGTTATTTTTTCTTATGAAATAGTTGAGAATCTTTTTCTGAAGGTAATAAAACAAAAAGTACGAAATTTGATGGAAAATTGATGAAATTATGCTTTCGTGAATTTTGAGGTGTCAGCGATACTTATGCATCGGCGATTTTGGCGAATTTGACTCCCATTTTAGGCCAACTACCTTATTCCAGTCGACCAAATTCTTAGCTATTTCACTAGTATTACTTCTGTTCTATTGACTGAGCACAAGAAATTGCCAACTCAACTGTTTCAACTACAAAATATGTAAAGTGATGGGAAATTGGTAATTTGGCCAATTTAGTGCAAAGTTCAAAGTATTCCAATTTCAAAATAGGGTCCAGAATAAACAATGCAGTCATTTCTGGCACTAAACTAACATTTCCTCTATTCATTAGTTATGTTTTCAGGCTTTACAAATGAATTTCATTTTGATTTTTAATTCACATAATGAATTTTTATTCAAACCAAAAAATAGAAGATTTATTGTCATGCAATATTGTAATAATTGTATAAATAATATCAGCACATTTGTGAACGTATATTACACCCACCAGCTGGCGTGTATTAGACGTGTGAGGTCATTTGTTTACTCTTGAACATCGGAAAAAATTTAACGTTTCCGCTAATTTGAGCTCGGTTTCAAGCCATTTTCAGTACTAAAACCAATCAGAATAATTTTTATTTCTGTAATATATCTTCCATTCTATCAAGAGAGACCAAGTAATCGTAAATACAACTGTAAAAAACATACGAAAAAGCAAAGCAAAGTTGCTGTTTTAATCGACAATTACAGTCTCAGTTTTCTTTCTCTCATTATGCACTGTGTGCTGCAGGATTTGTTTTATGTGGTGACACACATACCACATAGATGTATTCTCTCATATCTAGGCCCAAATTTACTGCTCACAGCTTATCAGAGTGAGCTGAGCTCATGGCGTAGATCTACGGTTTGGACCCTCAACGTAAAGCCATAGATGTATGGCACGGACCCTGAAAGGGTTAATGTTTATTGTAGTACATATATCTATAAATAATATATACACCTGCTGTCCTACTTGTGACCTACTCGACATACGACCACTTGAATTATGACCATATTTTTTATGCCAGATTTCTGGGAAATAACCCTTTGACTGTCGCAAGCCCCTTTCTGAAACTATCATTCTATGTCGCAAAATTTTTGGAAAAAAGAAATTATTTTTTCTTATGAAATGATAGAGAATCTTTCCTTGATGGTAATGACACCAAAAGTACGAAATTTGGTCGAAAACTCACTGAATTACGCTCCCGCGAAGTTAGTGGTCTCGGCGACATATACACATCGACGATTTCGCCAACTTTGAGCCCTGTTTTTGGCCAATTCCTTTGTTCAAGTTGACCAAACTCATAGCTGTTTGTTTGGAACTCAATTTTTTCTATCAAGAAACCACCCATTTACTGATTTGAACTACCCAATAAACCGGTCAGAAATTGGCAATTTGACTAATTTCACGCAAATTAGAAAAGATGCCAATTTCTAAATAGGGTCCAGAATAAATAATGTAGACATTCTTGGCACTAAAATAACATATCCTCTGTTCATTAGTCATGTCTCTAGGCCCCTCTTATATTACTATTGCTTTATATTTTGATTTTTTATTTATACAAAAAATACAAATTTACTGTTATGCAGACTACTGCATTATTGTAAAAATGGTATAAATAATATCAGTGCTCTAGTGAAAGAATATTAGACTTCCCAGTTGACACGTATTGGACGTGTGGTGTGATTTGCCTACTCCTGAACATTGGTAAAAATTGAACATTTCCGCTACTTTGAGCTCAGTTTCAAGGTCGTTTTCATCGTGAAACTAATCAAAATCGTCTCTATTTCTGTAATATGTTTTCCATTTTATCACGTGAGACCATGAAAACGAAAATACAATGATAAATACACAAAAATACACCTCAAAGTCAGCGTTTTAATCCAAAAAAACGGTCAGTTTTTTTTCTCGTTATGCACTGCATGCTGCAGGATTTTTTTTTATGTAGTGTACACTGACCACACAGACCCATTCTCTCACATGTGGGCCTACCAGCTTTCTCCTGCTTGATTTGAAGCCGCTAGAATTTTATGCGCATTAATATGTCCGAAACACTGGCTCATAAGACGTATATATACGACCAAAACAGTTAAAGGGATAAACAACTGTTTGTGTTGTACACAGTGTTTATCCTGAACCTTATGGTATAAAATACAGTACTAACAGCATAAAAAGTAAAGTAAAAAATTAAATGCCAAAATAAAAAAAATAAAATAAACATTACAAAGTGTGATGTTGTTTTTTGTAGTAAGGGTTTAAAATTTCGTTCCTTTTGATTTGAGGTTGGGGAACCCAAATTGGTTGTAAAATTGTGGTACTGTGGTTCTAAAGGATACGAGAATGCTTTTGGCTTTTCCTGCTTTTTTTTTTTTTTTTACAATAAGTGGACCCAGAGTTTCGTGATTTAACCATTCCAGAGAGCCCGCGAAGTCGAAATTCACGAAACTCGAAACCATTTTCCCCAAAAAAAAATAAAGGAAAAAAATTAAACCGTTCCCCACACCAAAAATATTAAAATAAAATATATTTTTTTTAAATCAAATAAGTTTTTAAAACTGAAAAAATCAGAAATCAGTACCTGCATAAAAAAAAAATAATAACATTCAATTACCTTTACTGAAGACTTTGGGTGGAGGGGGACGGAAGGAGAATTCCTTCCATTAGGACTTCAGGTAGCAAGTCCTTTTTGGGGTTTCTTCCCTTCTTTTTAATGCACGGGAACAACTTTAGAGTCACGGACCCCTGTTGACAAAATTTTCTGTCCGAAGGCTGTTTCTGGCATTTCTTATGATTTCCCCGAAGTGGGGCGGTTTTTCACTGAAAAATGCTTGCAGATGGCTTGTTTCAACTTTGGGCGGGGTGATACTTTTCAAAAAAAACTTTGCAACTCATTCCACTTTGAAAACATGTCCTTTAATCACTGAAGAAGGCACCCTTTCATTCTTTTCTCCTCCTCTGAAGCAAATTTCCCCAGCTGTGGTCTGGCGGTTCCCGTTGAAGTCTTTCGGTTCGTCAGTGGTTAGCCTTCCTGTGGTCTCCCCAATCTTCCCCAAACTCTGGCACTCACCTCTAACCCCATGGACTTGCCCAATGCCACAACACCTTCCACAACAGGCAGAGGGTCGGCATGGTCAGGGTCTGCCTCAAACCCTTCAAAATCCCTCTGGATCGTGTTCTTCGCTTTCTTTACCAAAGGGCTTGCACTAGCTTTCCTTGGGCCCATGGTGACTTATTTAGCAGTTGCAATCACAAAAAAAAAATGGATTATTACGTATGAACCCGCGGGGTGATGGTCACGTGTTGATAAACAATGGCACACTGAGCGTGAATGGTGTGGGAGACTGGCTTTGTGTGCGCGGTGACGGGTGGACGGGTACCGGACGGTTGCCGAATCATGAGTCTAATCACGAAACTCAAGGCCAAATTTTGCCGCAAAAACTTGCCGAAAGTCGAATTTCATGAAAATCGATGCTGCCGAAATTCGGGGGTCCACTGTACTGTGTTCTGTTTTGATGAACACTCAGAGAATTCCCTTATTATTGTTATATCGAGGGTTTACTGTATCTGTAATATAGTGGTTTTCACTCCAGGAATAAGATCAATATGATTAAGGCATTTCACCCAGGATGTATAGGTTTTTATATTTAGTGATTCCAAGAAGAGTTTTTTATATGATTACACATCAGAGAACTGTACAGTATTTCTGATTTTAAGATATTTTGTTTTTTCAGATGTTCATCAAACCCTTCCGAATCAAGTCACAAACACAGTTAAAGGGATCAGATAGGTAAGATAACTTTTTTATGGGCCCTATATTGATGGTCATGTATTATTTTCTGAGTATCTACTTAGTTTTTTTAAAACAAGAAGTCGTCTCCCACCAAGGCATTCTGTATACTATACAGTATTGTATATATTTTTATATATTTCAAATGTTTAGCATCATGTACATTTTAAGTTTCTTTCATTTGATCTGTATGTTGTCTCATTGCAGTATTTGAACGATTATTAATATATATTTTGTTAGGTTTAAGGCTGTCTTTTGCACAATGGTCATTAGGGCCACAATTTGCTTGTGAGCTAACATCAAGAGATTAAAATAAACTCTTAATGTATAGACATAGAGATATGCAGCTATTGGCATATACACCCTCATTATTCTAATGAGGGAAAAATGCTAAACCTGTAAGTCATATAGTATGCTGGAAATGGGCAGCAATCAGGTTGGACTGAAGGAAGGGAAGGACATATTCACTTGGCTAAAGAGGAGAGCAGTTATAACTGGATCATTATTTAAGTACCATGCTTTCTCATTGTTCTTCATTTGTTCAAGAACTCTTAGTTTTATTTTTTAACTTATTTTCAACTTGCTTTAATTATCTTGTAGTACAGTAAAACCTCGATTTAAATGACTCGTGGGGGAAGGGGGAAGGGCAAGTGACCAGTAATGGTGAGTGTGGTGGATAGTGATGAGATGTTTTTTTGCCAGGATCATAACAGTAACAGACAATTTTATAATCAATGATTCTGTCTGGTGATCCAAATCAGTTAACTCAGCGAATTATGTCCCATGTTTCTGAAGACCATTAAATCAATCAATCAGTCAAGTTTATTCTCTAGAAGGATTACAATGTGGGGTTTTTCAGATTTTGGATATTGTGTGGTTTACATGTTTTAAAATACTAATTACAGAGGGGGGTCACTAGGACACCTAGCATGGCTAGGCATTTCGGGCAGACTTAGATTAATTCTAAACTTTAAATTATTACAGATTATGGTATTAAGGCTAAGTGACTACATTATAGTTTGTAAGTTTAGCAGTGTGAATGCTTTTGTTTTGGCACAATACATAGTGTCTATATTGGAGTATCATAGGCAAGCTTATGACTAGTTAGGGTTCATTATTTTAAGATTAAGATTCATATTTCTGTGTTTATAGTCGATGGGTGAGTGAGTGTAAGTGTGAACCACCAGGTGGTTTACATGTAGTTAGTTGACGGGGTGTATCAGTGAGATAAGATGTTTTCTAACTGTAGTTTTGAAAGTGATGAATGTGTCTGCAGTTCTAGAGTTTTCAGGTAGGGTGTTCCAGAGTTTAAGCCCTTTGACACACATTGAATTTTTGTAAAAATTTAGTCTGGCATGGGGAATGTCATAGAGATGTTTGTGTCTGGTGTTATGCTTGTGGGTCCTGCCACAACTATCAAGAAAGCGTTTTAGGTCAAGGTTAATATTGGAATTTAAGGTCTTGTAGATTTGGATTGCACAGTAGTAAGTGTGGATGTTCTGAACAGGGAGTAAGTTTAGATCTATGAAGAGTGGGGGGGGTGTGTTGCCAGGGATGGGATTTAGTGATTATTCTTACTGCGGCTTTTTGTTGGGTTATTATTGGCTTTAGATGTGTTGCTGCAGTTGATCCCCAAGCACAAATAGCATAGGTGAGGTATGGATAAATGAGTGAATGGTATAGTGTGAGAAGGGCAGTTTGTGGCATGTAATATCGTATCTTCCGTTATAATGAAAGTTGCGTTTCTTTATCTTTCAGGAAAAAACTGCGAGCTGAATTGTCACAAGCATATCCCTCTCTATCATCTGAAGATCTGGCTAAGCTCATTCCGAGCAAGGATGATGTTACACTGGTGCGCATATATTGCTATAAAGGAGAATCGGTCAATGTTTACCAGGTAAAATTGGCTGTTAATAAGCTTTGCTGGTTTACTATGATAATTTTTTTTTATTAGTTTATGAAGTTTGGCAGTTTATTCAATAGATAATAAATTTTAAATAAACCTAAGATTTTGATGTGTATTAAGCATGTAAATACAGCGGAACCCCGAGTTTCATCCTTAATCCATTTCAGGAGCTAGGACTAAAGTTGAAACGTCCTGAAGTCGAAGCAGTATTTCCCATAAGAAATGATGTAAATCCAATTAATCCGTTCCAGACCCAGAAAATATTCACGAAAAATACATTTTTTGAAGAATAACTGTAGTTTTACATGCACAACACAGATAAATATATATACAGAGTACTTAAATTAGTAATACAATAAATAAATTAACATTTATTTCTTCTATTGTCCATGGGGAAGTGGAAAAGAATCTTTCCTCCGTAAGCCATGCGTGTCGTATGAGGCGACTAAAATGCCGGGAGCAATGGGCTAGTAACCCCTTCTCCTGTAGACATTTACTAAAAAAGAGAAGAAGAAAAACTTTATAAAACTGGGATGCTTAAATGTGTGTGGATGTAGTGCGGATGACAAGAAACAGATGATTGCTGATGCTATGAATGAAAAGAAGTTGGATGTCCTGGCCCTAAGCGAAACAAAGCTGAAGGGGGTAGGGGAGTTTCAGTGGGGGGAAATAAATGGGATTAAATCTGGAGTATCTGAGAGAGTTAGAGCAAAGGAAGGGGTAACAGTAATGTTGAATGATCAGTTATGGAAGGAGAAAAGAGAATATGAATGTGTAAATTCAAGAATTATGTGGATTAAAGTAAAGGTTGGATGCGAGAAGTGGGTCAAAATAAGCGTGTATGCACCTGGAGAAGAGAGGAATGCAGAGGAGAGAGAGAGATTTTGGGAGATGTTAAGTGAATGTATAGGAGCCTTTGAACCAAGTGAGAGAGTAATTGTGGTAGGGGACCTGAATGCTAAAGTAGGAGAAACTTTTAGAGAGGGTGTGGTAGGTAAGTTTGGGGTGCCAGGTGTAAATGATAATGGGGGGCCTTTGATTGAACTTTGTATAGAAAGGGGTTTAGTTATAGGTAATACATATTTTAAGAAAAAGAGGATAAATAAGTATACAAGATATGATGTAGGGCGAAATGACAGTAGTTTGTTGGATTATGTATTGGTAGATAAAAGACTGTTGAGTAGACTTCAGGATGTACATGTTTATAGAGGGGCCACAGATATATCAGATCACTTTCTAGTTGTAGCTACACTGAGAGTAAAAGTAGATGGGATACAAGGAGAATAGAAGTATCAGGGAAGAGAGTGGTGAAGGTTTATAAACTAAAAGAGGAGGCAGTTAGGGTAAGATATAAACAGCTATTGGAGGATAGATGGGCTAATGAGAGCATAGGCAATGGGGTCGAAGAGGTATGGGGTAGGTTTAAAAATGTAGTGTTAGAGTGTTCAGCAGAAGTTTGTGGTTACAGGAAAGTGGGTGCGGGAGGGAAGAGGAGCGATTGGTGGAATGATGATGTAAAGAGGTAGTAAGGGAGAAAAAGTTAGCATATGAGAAGTTTTTACAAAGTAGAAGTGATGCAAGGAGGGAGAGTATATGGAGAAAAAGAGAGAGGTTAAGAGAGTGGTGAAGCAATGTAAAAAGAGAGCAAATGAGAGAGTGGGAGAGATGTTATCAACAAATTTTGTTGAAAATAAGAAAAAGTTTTGGAGTGAGATTAACAAGTTAAGAAAGCCTAGAGAACAAATGGATTTGTCAGTTAAAAATAGGAGAGGAGAGTTATTAAATGGAGAGTTAGAGGTATTGGGAAGATGGAGGGAATATTTTGAGGAATTGTTAAATGTTGTTGAAGATAGGGAAGCTGTGATTTCGTGTATAGGACAAGGAGGAATAACATCTTGTAGGAGTGAGGAAGAGCCAGTTGTGAGTGTGGGGGAAGTTCGTGAGGCAGTAGGTAAAATGAAAGGGGGTAAGGCAGCTGGGATTGATGGGATAAAGATAGAAATGTTAAAAGCAGGTGGGGATATAGTTTTGGAGTGGTTGGTGCAATTATTTAATAAATGTATGGAAGAGGGTAAGGTACCTAGGGTTTGGGCAGAGAGCATGCATAGTTCCTTTGTATAAAGGCAAAGGGGATAAAAGAGAGTGCAAAAATTGTAGGGGGATAAGTCTGCTGAGTATACCTGGTAAAGTGTATGGTAGAGTTATTATTGAAAGAATTAAGAGCAAGACGGAGAATAGGATAGCAGATGAACAAGGAGGCTTTAGGAAAGGTAGGGGGTGTGTGGACCAGGTGTTTACAGTGAAACATATAAGTGAACAGTATTTAGATAAGGCTAAAGAGGTCTTTGTGGCATTTATGGAATTGGAAAAGGCGTATGACAGGGTGGATAGGGGGGCAATGTGGCAGATGTTGCAAGTGTGTGGTGTAGGAGGTAGGTTACTGAAAGCAGTGAAGAGTTTTTACGAGGATAGTGAGGCTCAAGTTAGATTTGTAGGAAAGAGGGAAATTTTTTCCCAGTAAAAGTAGGCCTTAGACAAGCATGTGTGATGTCACCTTGGTTGTTTAATATATTTATAGATGGGGTTGTAAGAGAAGTAAATGTGAGGGTCTTGGCAAGAGGCGTGGAGTTAAAAGATAAAGAATCACACACAAAGTGGGAGTTGTCACAGCTGCTCTTTGCTGATGACACTGTGCTCTTGGGAGATTCTGAAGAGAAGTTGCAGAGATTGGTGGATGAATTTGGTAGGGGTGTGCAAAAGAAGAAAATTAAAAGGTGTAATACAGGAAAAGATAGGTTATGAGGATAACAAAAAGTTAGGTGATGAAAGATTGAATATCAGATTGGAGGGAGAGAGTATGGAGGAGGTGAATGTATTCAGATATTTGGGACGTGGACGTGTCAGCGGATGGGTCTATGAAAGATGAGGTGAATCATAGAATTGATGAGGGGAAAAGAGTGAGTGGTTGCACTTAGGAGTCTGTGGAGACAAAGAACTTTGTCCTTGGAGGCAAAGAGGGGAATGTTTGAGAGTATAGTTTTACCAACGCTCTTATAGGGGTGTGAGGCATGGGTGATGAATGTTGCAGCGAGGAGAAGGCTGGAGGCAGTGGAGATGTCATGTCTGAGGGCAATGTGTGGTGTGAATATAATGCAGAGAATTCGTAGTTTGGAATTTAAAGGAGGGGGTGCGGGATTACCAAAACTGTTGTCCAGAGGGCTGAGGCAGGGTTGTTGAGGTGGTTCGGACATGTAGAGAAAAATGGAGCGAAACAGAATGACTTCAGAGTGTATCAGTCTGTAGTGGAAGGAAGGCGGGGTAGGGGTCAGCCTAGAAAGGTTGGAGAGAGGGGGTAAAGGAGGTTTTGTGTGCGAGGGGCTTGGACTTCCAGCAGGCATGCGTGAGCGTGTTTGATAGGAGTGAATGGAGACAAATGGTTTTTAATACTTGACGTGCTGTTGGAGTGTGAGCAAAGTAACATTTATGAAGGGGTTCAGGGAAACCGGCAGGCCGGACTTGAGTCCTGGAGATGGGAAGTACAGTGCCTGCACTCTGAAGGAGGGGTGTTAATGTTGCAGTTTAAAAACTGTAGTGTAAAGCACCCTTCTGGCAAGACAGTGATGGAGTGAATGATGGTGAAAGTTTTTCTTTTTCGGGCCACCCTGCCTTGGTGGGAATCGACCAGTGTGATAATAAAAAATAATAAAAATAAATTAAATAAACATTTAAAATAACATTTACTTACCTTTTTTGAAGACTGTTGCTGGCATCTGGAAGATAGGGAGGAGTGAGGGAGCACTTTGTGTGTGAAAGGGGAATCCCCTTCCATAAAGACTTTAGGTAACAAGTCATCTGGGGTTACTTCCCTTCTTTGTCTTTTAATGCCACTAGGACCAGCTTGAGTCTTTGGACTCTTGTCACACAAAATAACTGCCCAGAGTCCTCTGTTTCTGGCACCTCTTTAACATTTCCCTAAAATGGGACATGGTTCTGTCACTGCACTTGTTGTAGAGATTGATTATTTCAGCTTGCTCAGGGTGGTATTTTTCCACAAAACTTTGCAACCTATTCCACATGCCACACATGTCCCTAATCACTGAAGAAGGCACTTCCTCCACTCCCTCTTCCTCCTCCTCCTCCTCCTCCTCTGAAGCAAGTTCCTCAACTGTTTCTTTGGGCCCAGGGTGACTTATTTCACATTTGCACTCAATAAACAAGCGCCAAACACGATGAATTAATTGTGAAATGTTTGGATGAGCACACAGGGTAATGTTCACTCGAAGATAAACAAGCAGCCAGACTGACTCACGACTGCAGGTGCGGGCAGGCAGACAGGTCTGGTATGTGGGATGAAACACGGGGCACAGTGCGAAACTTGGGACAAAATTTAGCCGAAAAAACAGTTCTGAACTCGAAGTGCACAATACTCAGGGTGGACGAAACTTGGGGTTCCACTGTAATTATGTAGTAAAAATAGATATGCAGTTTTGATCAATTATAGAAAGAAAAAGAAAGAAATTATCAGTCAGGATATCTTTAAGATGATATTTGCAGTTGCTGACATTATGAATGCATAAGTAAGATCAGTCAGCTGTAGTGGTGTGGCAGAGAAGATCGGTCAGTTGATTGATAAAAAAATTCTTTTGACATTGTAATTTCTGTATTTCCATTCCAATTTAAGAGGCCTGGTTTAAGACCAGGCCATGAGAACAGTGATCCTTGGAACCATTGGTTGATACATTACATGTCATTTATGCTGCTTAACCCTTGAACAAAAATAAAATGATAGTACTTGGCTAAAGTCACAACATACTGTACTAAAATTTCCTGAGATCTGCTGTTTTAGTCCTCCAAACAATTTCTGTGGTCAGGTGCAACTTTGTCTCATAATAACATAAGAAAGAAGGAACACTGCAACAGGCCTACTGGCCTATGCAAGGCAGCTCCAATTCTCCCACCGGCTTAAGCCAGTGCCTTGACCTATTACCAAA